GGCAAAGTCGGTTGGTTTATCAATCGAGATGACTATGGGTAGATGGTCTGATGCTAGAGTCAGCATAGGTCGCCACGTTATGCTGTTTATCAGACCAGCGCTGACTATTGTGATGTCTGGCGAGCTACTGCAGTTACCCATAATCCTGGTGGGTGCGTCGTCGTTCATTGTGCAGAATGTCGAATCGTCTATCTGCTCAGCCAAGTCTGTTCCCCTACGATCGTTTGACAGGCTTGAGTGCCAAAGATCGTGGTGCGCATTAAAGTCACCTACTACCATACGGTTTTCACCTCTGAGGAGCGCACCTATATCAGGGTGATATCCATTATATAGTTGATCGCGTCGTGTGTTGGGTTTGGGATATGTAAAAAAACTGGGTGTAAAAAAGCGGTGGACATAAATAGAAAAATTTAACTACAATTTTAAAATTTGGTATACAAGCTTTTTGAGGGCCTTGACTGACAAACGTCACTTGCTGAAAATGGTCGAGATGGGCTAAGACTACGATCCTACAAGCCCCCACCTATCACACACGGGGGTTAAGGCTTTTATAAATAAGGCGTGCAATAACAAACATAACCATGATATATTATTATTATATATATCATGAACATAACGCAGTACTGAATTTAAACAGCTTTTTAGACCACTAAGAAAATGTTATAGAAAAATTTAATATTTTGGCGTAAAACTGAAGATTTTAATGTGATTTTAAATGGGTTAGTGCTAACAACTTTTAATCGCTAATGCATAGATAATGAAATGTAGGGTAGGGTTATCCCAAAAACCAGGAAAAAATGAAACTTGAAATTACTGAGTTTTGTTATGGATGTCCTCCAATATGTTTAATGAACGAGTCAATTTTTCGTTGATTTATATTGTAATTTCTTAACTTTTCTAAAAATAGGTCTTTTTATAGATATACATACATACTTGGGGTATTCACAACAGTGTCGTATTCCCTGCCGGCATTTTCTATTGCGGAAGTTACTAATTCGATAAGACATTTCTGTTAAAATCATCGCCGATGATATCGCTACTTTTTCGAATTCTTATCCGCTCTCGGGAAGAACTGTTCTACCGAGACGTTAGGTATTTATGAAACGAAAGCGATACAGCAATTAGGAACTATTTCGATAGGAATAAGACTAACTTGTGCGATAAAAGTGGAAGTGTTAAAGAAGATTCTTGGCTTGGTTAATGAGAAATTTGGATACCTTTGAGCTTGCAACCACAGCCGCAGAGTTACGCCATTCTCATCCTGCTTTCGGCTCAGATTTCTAGCTGAAACGCACCCACATTTTATGAAATTCATAAACATTTTAAAAAGCTGTTCCAAAACTTCTTTGGGCCGTATGAATAAAGCAATTGAAGCAATCGCTTTTTCTTAAAATTTCAGACCTTTTACTCGATTTATTCAAATAAAAGTGAAGTAACAGGTCATACGGCCCATAATAAAAACTCAATAACGCATCTATTAAAATTTAAAAAATATTATTTGTTATTCGAATATGATCATGGTTAATGTGACCAACTATTTCATAGCTGAAAGAAGTAAAGGTGCGGTTGGGTTAGGTTAAAGTGGTTGCCCTAGGCAAGGGACACTTGGACAATCAAGAGATTGTCCTTTGTGGTACCGAAAAACTGAACTGATAACCATATTTTAGTCGGCGAAACGCCGCGAGCTGGNGCAATAACACATCTATTAATATTTAAAACATATTATTTGTTATTCGAATATGATCATGGTTAATGTGACCAACTATTTCATAGCTGAAAGAAGTAAAGGTGAGGTTGGGTTAGGTTAAAGTGGTTGCCCTAGGCAAGGGACACTTGGACAATCAAGAGATTGTCCTTTGTGGTACCGAAAAAACTGAACTGATAACCATATTTTAGTCGGCGAAACGCCGCGAGCTGGTTACCACATTTCGAAAGCGGCTAATTTCGATCCCTGAGAGCTGGGTCTTAGTTAAGAAGTGCGAGCCAAATGCTTCCATCTTTGCCTGCCAAAGGTTGGATAGTCTAAAAGAAAGTATGGAGATGATTCCACCTCACTTTCCTCTTGACAGCTGTTACCAAAAGGATCAGTAGAAATTCCTAGTCTTACCGCGTGAATACCAAACGCATAATGGCCTGTCAGAGCCCCCATCACTAGCAATTGGGAGATAACGTGTTTGCGGCACCTTTAAGGGGTAACGATGGGCCACTCGTTTCTTGCGCTGCAAAAGGTATTTTAAAGTGCTCTATAGAAAACATTTGCTGTTGTAGAGAAATGTCTTATTTTCCCTGTTTATGTCACAAAAGGAGCACCGCTTTCTTTTGTCCATTTTATTAGGTATTTAGTAGGGTATGGAATTTCATTATCGCGACTACGAAGTATGCGTGTTAGTCTAGCGCTCGCTGAGTTAACACTAGGTCCAACGATCTAAGAGTGTACCGCAGGAGGACAGAGGCGTCCCTAGGGTGCCTTTCCAACGGCAGGTCAACAGCCACGCAGTTTCCCGCGATGTCACTGTGACCCGGCACCTAAACTAGCTTTATTAAGGAGTACTCCTACGCGGTTGATAGAGAGGTCAGACATTCCTTTACCCATTTCGAGCGCACCATCACACCCCCTAGGAGTGAGTCTACCACTTCCTTGAAGGCAGCTATTTCCACCTGAAAGGCACTGCAGAAGTTCGAAAGCCTGAACATAGTTTTGGTGGAGAGTTTCCGTCAGAATAAACCTCCACCTACCCTGTTTCCAAGTTTTGATCCGTCCGTGAAGAAGTTTACCGCCCCTTCTTCGAGTAACCCCGCCCTACCTAGTGCTCTCTTGAGAGAATATAGGTAGAGAATGAGTAACTATCGCTTTGATAACTTCCAATAGTGACGAAGAAGTGACATCGCAGCGATAGGCGATAAAATTCTCTTCCATTTGCTGGCAGGCTTGTTGTATGTCCTAAACTTTAAAAGCTTGAAAACGCAACCAACTTTTTTTTTACTGTGTGGAAATTCATGATATGACTTTTAGGTATCTTGCGACTCTTTAAAATAGATTCTTAACCATTTAAAGTTTACGACATATGTACAACAATAGGACACTTACGATACCGTTGTGAATACCCCAACTGTTATTATTTCACTAAACGTAAAACTCTAGCTAGCAAGTCTTTTGTAACAACAACAACAACAACAACAAAAACAATTGAATGACAGTCGGCAAATAGTGTTAACGATTTGGTTCGTTCTGCAACGAAAGTATCACAAAAAAGTTCCCTTGCCAACTTTCATAATGGAAAGCCCTTTTAACAGAAAGCAGGACCGTTTGGTCCAACAGTCATAGTGGTCGGGTGATCAAAGCACTGACGTGTCTTTCGAGAGATCCGAGTTTCGCATCCTTGGGCAGCGGAATTTTTACGTGAGCAAGCTTTGGTCAACCGTGAAGTCCATGTCCAACCGC